TATGGAAGTAGATTGCCCAACCTTCCTTCCGAGGAGTGGCTGGTGGGTTTGAACCGCCAGCCTTCTGATTAGCAGTCAAGTGCCTTAGGCACTACACTACCAGAGCTCCCCAACCACTACACTTCAGTATACCAAAACTAACACCAAACTCACTGCCATCCAGTTGATTCTGATTTATAAGGCCCCTCATTGGGTTTCCAAGGCTGTAAATCTTTATGGAAGCATATGGAAGCAGACTGCCTTATCTTTCTCTCAGAGAGCAGCTGGTGGGTTTAAACCACCAACCTTTTAGTTAGCAGCCAAAGCCTTAACCACTATGCCACTAGTTAGCACTCAATAATACTACTGATCTCTGTTACAAAAGGTACTTAGAGAAGCTGTTGATGGCATTCTCATCACTGAAATGGGGGAGAGGGGAAGGGAAAGGGAAAAAGAATCTAACATACCAAGACTTAATATAAATTATTTTTGTTACTTCTCACAACCAAACTAAGAGTTATTACCTATGCATATAAAGTGTAGAGCTCAGAGAGTTGTGACTTATCTGCATTTATGCAACTAAATGGCAAAGCCGCAGTTCAACTCTAGGTGGTTTGGCATGAAAGTCCCTTCTCTTTCCACCACACTGCAACTCAAGGTATATCTCTTCCTGGACAATAATATGTGTAGAGTGTAGTTGTTAGAATTAGAATGTGAGCTTAGTGGTGTGAAAGCTGAGATTCTGAACATTTAACACATAACCTATTTATAAAAATTTGTCACTTGAAATTCTAATGTAAATCTAGCTAACTTTTTAATGTAAGAAATATGCTAAGAACTTGTGGAAGTTATGTTTGTGTGTCAACTTGGCTGGGCCTGGTTGAGTGGCTGGGCAGCTGGTGATAGTTATTCCCCATGATTAGACTGGCAATCAACTCCATGGTGGGATGGTGGGATCTATCACAAGCAGCTGAGTAGGTGCCTTTGGGATGTGGTCTGCTTCCTGTATATAAGGAGAAGCCTTGGGAATGATCTCTAGCCTATGGCACACTTGGACCCTGCATGTAGTCGTGTCTTTGTTGGGCAGCCTGCTATGCTCTGCCGACCTTGAGACTTACAATGGATTTAAGTTAATGGCCTGCCGTGTGGTTTGGTAACATCGGGACTGTGCCTTTTTACTTGTCAACCTTGGGGCTTCTTAGTCTCAGTAGCCAACAGCTGTCTGAGTGAAGAAATACCTCTAGCTCCAGTGGGCCGGGAGCAAGAGGCAGAGCTGGACTCCAAGGTTGAGGGGCTTTCACCCAGCCCTAGAACCTGGCACTTTGAACTTGGACTTAAAGCCTCCAGATTGTAAGAATAAACTCCTGTTTATTAAGACCATCCCATGTGTGGTATATTCTTGTCAGAGCAGCACTAGGTAACCAGAACAGAACTGTAATAAGAAAATAGAGTGATGTACAAGATACAAAGCAGTGCACAGATTTTAGAGTCATCCTTAGTGCCTCTCTCTCCTTCATCCCTTATATCCAGTCTATCAGCAAGGCCTCTTGTTCCTACCATTAAAATCTGTCTCAAATCAGTTTTTTTTTTTTCTCTGTTCTACCACCACCCAAGTCCGTGAGGGCACCCTCATGTTTCTTGGAATCCTGCAAGAGCCTCTTGTTTGTCTCTTCATTTCTGTTCTTGCTTCCTACCTCTTGTTACTTGCACAGAAGTCAGTGTGATCTTTTCAAAACACAAATCTAGCCTATCTAAAACCATTATATGTGTTCCTATTAAACTTAATACAAACGCAGACTCCTAACCTGTAATGACATTCATGCTTGGTCTCTTACTTGCCTTGCTAACCTCTTGCTACTATGTCCTGTGTCCACAATGCTGTAGCTGTGTTGGCCTTCTCTCAGTTGCTTTGCACATGCTCTTTGCTCTTCTGTGAATTACTTTTCCTTTCTTCTTATGGCTGGCTTCTTCATCTGCTTTAGGTCTCAGTTGAACTTCTCTAAATATGTTGTCTAATTTGCTAATGCCTTGCTTCACTGTCTATTACTGTTCTCTGGCCATTTTATTCATAGTACTTATCAAATTATATAATTAGGCACTATTTTATTTAATTGGTTATTGCCTATCTTTCTCACTAGATCATAAGGTCCTGATAGCTAGGACTATGTCTGGTTCTTTTTTTGTTTGTTTTGCTTTTTTTTTTTTTTTTTTTAATCAGATACTTGGTATGACACCTAAGAGCTCAGTAGTACATATTTAGTAAACATCTGTTGAGAGAATGAATGACAGAATGAATGAAGGAGTCTACCAGAGTTCATACCTTGGCTTCTTTGCCAGATATGCAGTCTTAGGCCAGTTACTTAACCTCTCTAGCCCTCAGTTACTTAACCCTTAAAATGAGTCTAATAATACCTCTTAGGATTGGCATTAAGATTAAATGACATAACAGACTAAAAGAGTTTTTCACAGGTCCAGTGGTTAGAAAGTTACGGATTAATGATAGTTTTTGCTGTGGTAGTTCCTTTGGGTCACATACCTTCTTGTCAAAATTTCAGTGTTTTCAGTTACTATTTAACTTTGATGTTCCCTATTACTGTCTGGAAAAATTAATGTTACACACACCTTATCTACATCATCTTGTTTCTATCCATACTTTCCATGATGGCAAAGCCATCATCTCTCCTTTGAAAATTTTAGGCATAACTATTGGCATCTGAACCTTTTCTCTGAGTCTTTCTAGCTCTCCTGAAATCTTTTCTTCTTTCTCCCTTTCTCCATCTCTGTCTCTCTCTGTGTGTCTTTCACCCCACCCTTCTTTCCCTTTCCTCTACCTTCCCTCACCTCACCTTTCTTTCTTTCTTTTATTACTTCTTTAATGCCTTGCATAAGC